TCGTGGTAAAAAAGAATACATGTATATATGTGATAAATATATGGGATGATATTACACACGTTGTATGTAAGTGAGAATGAGAGAATGAGTGTGAAAAAGATAATAAGCGATCTTGTAACGTCGTCGTCGTCGTCGTCGTCATTATAGCATCGTTTGTTATTAAAGGGAAAGGATCCTAAGCGTAAGATCTACTCTTTGACGTGGTAATTTTCCGAGTCGGTGCGTTAGTACGATGCAGTAAACTTCTACATAGATTTGAACTTACGCACGCTAACACTTTAAAATACGATCACGTATAAGAAGGAGTATGGCGGTTTCTATTTTTCACGAGAATGGGATTTTTACGCCTCATACCAATGACCTTTTCCTCGACGCTAACGAACCCCTCGTTAACCATTTCCCCTATTATCCCGTGGTTAACTCGACTTCATCATTTTTTTCCTACGTTATTATGAATTCTAACAAGTTATCTCGATCTAATATATTTTCACCTTCCATTCACGAAATGAGAGATTGCTTTCATTTTTCCCCCTACTTTAATCATACTTTCTTTTTCCATTATTTGTGCTCATCAAATATCGACGATTCGTCCATTTGGTGGTAACATAAACGGAACTCCTCGTCAGCTGGTAAGCCTGTTACGAGTTTGAAAGTGAAGGTGCTTATTACCAAGCTAGAGATACAGATTAACTCAAGCATATCCAACGCACCTGTCTCAAATTATTTCAATTTTTTAAATCTTTTGATATATTATTACAATATGTATTAGTTATTGCGTTAAATCAATTTAAATAATTTAATATATTCTGAACAAAAATAAAATAAAATTTATATATCCACGCCATTGACATATCTTTCTTCATCTATCCCCAAGCATATATCTTTCTTATTCAGCTCGCAACATAATGGATTTTGTATTATCCACAGTATTACTCGGTTACCTGTCTCGAAGGACCTAAATCAATAATGACTTTTCTTTTGAAAATCTTCTATACCGTAATACCGCAAATATCGAACAACACAATAGTTTTTCCTTTAAGTGGGTATCACTATTATTTTCTCAATACCTGTTTCTATTCTCGTAGTAAGTAACACTAAACATATACCTGACCAGATCGTCTCGTCCATGCTGAGCAATTAGAAAGCCATTACTTTTCGGTCATGCGTACTCTAGCATGTCTGGTACAGGGTAGAAAAGCGGTAAAGACTCCCACAGAGTTTCTACACCTTTTGAGAGAAGGGATGCTCGAGGGTTGGAAATGGATGTCCGGTGATCAGGTGCAGCGAGATTCCCACTGACTTTGAATTCTTGAACATAGTATAGCATATGAAAGATGTATCCTCTCTCTCTCTCTCTCTCTCTCTCTCTCTCTCTCTCTCTCTCTCTCTCTCTCTCTCTCTTTCTCATTCGTTGACGTCGAGTTGTCATCGTGCCGGTACTCGGTGCCACCCGCTGTTTCGTTTTCATGTTTGGAAAGAGCACGGATAAACGACACTCGAAGGGGAGTCCAAAATTCGATGTAAAGGAAATTTTCTGGCATAAAGATGGACTGTGGTAATAACGTTGATAAAATATCGGCATATTTCTTTTATCTTACGTTTGATCGAAATGTTTCTTTTTTTTTATATATATATATATATACGCACGTTGATAAAATTATTCATCCTAGATCAATGAATATAAATAACAAAAGATACGATAATTAATAATAATCGACGTTTATCTCGTTCTATGGGAATCCTATGGGAATCCTATGGTAATCATTAGACAAATTTCACATAGTAAAATGATAGAATAAAATGGCAAATGACTGACGACGATGGGGACAGGAGAAGATATTATAGTTCGTATGAGAAATGCGTGTTCGTTCCCTTTTGTGAAAGCGCACAGCGGTTCGACGATGTCGGTCGCGTTAAACTTCACCGTATCCATTCGACTACCACCAACACTAACCAGGCATACGTTCATTTCCGAGAAGTTAATATTCAAAATGAACATCAACGATCCCGTGCTCGGTCGCGCTGCCGTTAATCTTCGATGGCATATGGGAGTAGAGCTCGCTTTATTGCGTCCGCGTTAATTATGCAAACGAATAATTAATATTTCGATTACTTCGATGACATCCTCCTACGCCTACGCGGGAATGATGATACCTATTTATTATTCGTATGAAGGATATTGTTGGAATTTAATGCACTAGTTAGGGGAAGAAAATGAAAACAGAGAGAGAGAGAGAGAGAGAGAGAGAGAGAGAGAGAGAGAGAGAGAGGGGAAGAGAAAGAGAGAGTCAGGCAAATGGACATATGATACAAAAGAAATCTTTTAACCGCAGAATGATAATAATCAAAAATTTAACGAATTAAATGTTACGTAAAATCTAACGTTAAATTTAACAATTAATAATAGACAATTAAAAAAACAAAGTACAATCTTTTTAAATGATTACAAAAAAAGAGACCAACTAATCTGTCGAATAAATTATTAAATAACATAAACACTCTCATATACGATTTGTATTATAATATTTTTCCACTTAACGATTATCTTACTTTATTGCGTTACTCTTCACTACTTCGTTATATGATTGGTATAAAAAAAAGGGGGGAAGGAGAAAAATTCACGGCACTTATGAAATAATTCGGTACTTCCGCTTACTTTCTCTCTATTTCTCTCTCTCTTGACCGTTAATCCCTTTCTTCATTCTCGGTGAGTTTAAAGTACGTAAGAAAGAGAGAGAGAGAGGAGAGTGAGGGAAGGATAAAGGATAAGGATGGAGAAGGAAGATAAAGAAAAAAAGATAAAAAATAAAAAAAAAAAAGGGAAAAAAGATAAAAGATCGTTGTGAAGCTATAAAGGATCGTTCGCGAGGACGTTGCTCGTCGTCGTCGTCGCAGGGATTAATAATAACTAGACGATAATTTACGACGGCAGTCTTTCGACGGGATAGTCCTCAGGCAGGTAAGTTTCTGATGGAAGAGATGGTAGTAGAGACAGGGGAAAGGTAAGGGTTGAGAAGGGGACAGAAGGGGGTACTGCGAGTCCAAGAGACGTCGTAAAACTCGTACGTCGTCTTTCTTTCATAATGAAGATATTATACGGAACTGAGAGTGAAGAATCTCTCGAAGAATATTCGCTCGTAATCGAGATGAGTATCGCATTGACTTTCCATCTTGGATCAATTTGCGACTAAACGATGGATCACGATCTTTTATCCCCCTCCCCCATCCCTTTCGCGTTCTTCCTCTCTTTCTCTTTCTCTTCCTCTTCCTCTTCCTCTTCCTCATCCTCCTACATTCGATAATGAATAGAAGCTCATTGCGATGATTAACTCGCTTAAATTAATCTTACAAATGGAAAAGTAAAAGAGAGAAAGAGAGAATGAGAGAATGATAGTGAAAAAGGAAAGGGAAAGAAAAAAAAAAGAAGAAGAAGGGGGTAAAGAAACATACAGAAAGATAGGATTGTTCTTTCCCACCACTACGGAAATAAACTGTTAGACTTATGAATATATTCATGATATTTTCATCAATATTCAGGACCTACTTTCCCCCGTCGCTCGCGTATCCAATCCGAAATCACGAATATATGACATGGACCGCGTATTTGCGGTTGGACCTCTACGATTAATCAACAAAAATTATTACGGTTTATAACTCAGTTAAAAGCTAATCATTGTATCATAGATACCTAATCGCATAGATTTGTTCAAGTTTAATATTTCAACCCTGAATAATGTTAATGCATTCGTTATTATAATATAGTACCTGGTGTTACCATCTCATTTGAAGTACTTAAGACTACGTTAGAACGGATACTCGGAAATTCTAGGGTAACTAAGGGTACGGGATAGTGATACTAATCCAGCGAGTTTCTCTGGATTATCCCAAGGAATCGTCCGAGTTGAATAAAAAAGATCACTCGCAACGTCAAACGAAGTAATCCGTTTAGCCTGTACGACCTGGAGAGTCCTGGGCTTGTGAAGAAACTCAAGGAAAATTCAAAGGTTCTCGAGTAGAGAGCCACTATCACGTCTATCGTCCTAGAAAATCGTCAGGATCACGTCCGGAGATACGCTTGGAGCATTTCCAGTTCTCACCACATTATATCTCTTTCTCTCTCTCTCTCTCCTTACTCTTCCTCTTCCTCTCTTTCTTTCTTTCCTTCTCTGTTTCTCTCTCTTTCTCGGTTTTCCTTTTCCGTTTCGCATTCGTCATTGCCTGTTGCGTTATTTTGGCCCGTATGGTTGTGTACACTTCCGCGGGAAAGGAAGAATAATATCCATCTTTAGGGGAGAAAGATTTAAAGGAGGGTAGGGTATACGCGTAATGTCCTCCTACAGCTCGTTTCTCACTAATAGATGGCCTCTTCCTTTTCCACATGACCTCACCAGTTCCTCCAGTAGCAGGAAATTAGCAAGTCTTAGGAACAGATCCCAACTACTAATCGCCAACGTGCTTCTCCCTCTACGATCCCTCTGGGACACCTCTAACGGTCTTTCCAAACAAACTCCATTTCCCTTTTCCTTCCTTTTTTACCCGACCTTCTTCTTCCGTCTCTCTTCAATCACCTTCACTCACGAGGGCTGACTCAAGGGATACTTTGACGTTATCTAACTCATAAAATCGTCCTTTTATCGAAACGATCGGTTCTTCGTCAGATGATTAAGAAATATCTATGTGCTACGTTATTTCCGTAATACTTTCAACGAAAATTTCGTAAGTAGGAGGATTAAAGGGATGCTATTTCTTAATGGGAACGTTACGCAAATTTATTAAAGGAAGAATTTTATCAATCTTTAGAGATTGAATTATTTTTTTTTCGCCTTTTTCTTACCGACCCGTTAATGAGAAATAACAACTTTCCCGTATTTCCCACCCCAATGTATTTTCACTGTAAGGGATAATAAAAATGAAAACGTTTAAACGATCCTACAAAATATTTCTTCTAATTATCACTCGTAGAACACACTTTCATTTTTAACGCAATTCTGTATGCTCACCTTGTTAACTGTTATCCACATGAGCCGTCAGCAAATGCACGCGTAACACACACGGATAGATCACGAACTTGTAGATCATCGGATATCACAGGAACGTTTTATATTTGTTTGTTATATGTTTACTTCTCTCCCCAATTTTCTATTTTCTTTTATTCTCTCGTTCGAACGTATTTCTTTTTTAATATATAAAAATTCACTTGCCGCAAAAAATAAATAAATAAACACTTTTTCCTAATCACAACAATTATTTTCTTATACACTGTTAACGAAGTTTCTTTTTTCTTTTTTTGTTTCTTATTAATAAAAATATTAATTACACAGTACTAACTCCTTGCTCCATTAATTAACTCGCAAATATTCATAGAAAAATAAATCACAGTTTAATATAATCTTGCTTTGTTGTTTGTTTGTTTTTCTGTATGTAAAAAAAAAAGAAAGAAATTATTTTGTTCACGTCCAAAAATTACTTGTCCCTTAGATTCCGGTAACACCGAGTTTCGTTTTCCTGAAAATTGCTTATTTTTTTTATTTTTTTGTTGTATATTTTTTTATATTTCGGCGCGACGGGCACGCGAGATCGAAAATGATCGCGAAGGTTGGAAGAAATACTTCGATATATAAAGGACACGCAAAAAGGGTCACCGTACCGTCACGGCGCCACGGCACTAACTGACAGTCCGTCGAGAGTCTCCGGTTGGTCGAAGCGACCTCGGAGGAGAGACTCGTGCCATCAGGAGTAGGGATGAAGCCAGTAAAAGAGGGGAGTAAACCTCACTCTCTGGCACGAGACCCTCTCTTTCTCTCTCTCTTTAACACACGCATACACGCGAACTAAAACACCACCAATTTACTTGTATTTAAAAAATATAAATATTATCTGACTTATTATTTGTTTGATTTTATATTTTTTGTTTATTCTTTTATAAACAATATTAATTAATTACCATCAATGCGCTTTGCTGAATACGTCAACTTTGACATATTTCATAATTTTTATTACTATGAACGTTTGCATATATGATTAACACACACACGTTAATATATTAATTTAATATTATTTAATTCATCATTAAGAATTTTGTTTCGTACGGATTAATAGACTTCCATTTTTCACCCACCCTCTCTCTCTCTCTCTCTCTTTCTGTGTTTTTTATCTTTATTTTAAATCTTTTTTTGGCATCGGCGAACGACACTCGCTCAGCATCATCCCCTCTACTCAACGTTTCTCCAACTGTCCGTCGAAGAGGTGGAGAAGGGTGGAAGTGAGCACGTGGGCACAGGACGTAGAAAGGGAATATAGGGGGGTGGGGCAGAGGGGACGAGGGTGAAGCATGGCCCGAAATGGGGTGAGGTTGCAAAATATGTTGTAGAAATGGGGTGGCCGATGAATGCGGTCGCCCGTAGACTAGGGATTTTATTGATCTTTTTTCCACCCCAGGAGAGAGCGTATACGCGCGCCCGCTTAATTAAGCGACCGCTGGCACGAGACGAACCTCCTCCTCCTCCTCTCCCACCTTCTTTCGTTCTTTCGAATTTTGAGAACGCGTCCTGAGGTTATGCAAATTATTTCTTTATTTTTCCTCTTTTTTTTTTTTTTTTTTTAAATTCATAACCCCTCGCTAATAATATTTTCGTTCCAAAATATGTCTAAAAATACCTTCGAGATAATTAATTAAACTTTTACGAGAGCTATCATCAGTTTTAAAAGAGATCGAAGATAATATTTTTCAACAAGAATCATTTTTTCAGGGAACAAACATAATTTTTGATGTTACGTATCCAAGTACGTATATTCATTCGCAAATTTTATCATCAGCAAATTAATAAACTCATCCACGCGCGTAAATAAACACGTAGTTTTCTATGAAAATTATTTCAAATTCTTTGACTGCTTATCAAGCGAACCGCATGTAATCAGATATTCTTTTTAATCCAATTAATTCATAGTATCCGTTTCTCGTCTCTTCTATTCCCATCAGACTCAACGCGAAGAGTTTGTTTTGTTTTTTTATTCTTTCCTTCTCCCTCCCTCTCAGTAACATGAAATTTTTATGTAATTTTAATTAAAGATTCGTCGAATTCTAGAAACAAAAAGATATCAAAGCTAATTATATTACCGTGTCGCGTTTACTAAATTCCATCTCGTTCGAATTTTGTAACCGAAGTGTAACATTGAGGGGGAAAAAAAACTGTGACTCTAAGTTTTTAGCAATAGTGTCGAAGTGACGATAAATATCGGCCAAGTGTGAAGTCAATGGAGAAAAATGACAGCCCATTGGTTCTTAATATTTATCAGCTTGTCGTATCCCCTAGGCACGTAGGGATAGCTTGGTGTATGTACCCTGGGCGCCATAAACATTAATCCGAATGTGGATGGTATATAGCAGCAGTTCGACTGGATCGAACGATTCGATGCTTCGAAGTGACGAGCAACGATATCTCACGATTTTCGCTACTTACAAACGTTCCTTCTTCTCTTCCTTTCAACGGTATAATGATAAATCGTGGTAAAAAGAACTCGATTAATATTGAACCATGACTGTATAACACTTTTTCAACAAATATTTTTACCATTAGGTAATGTAATTTCTCTCGAAAATCATCATTTGATTAGATTCATTTTAAACGATGATCTTAGGTTCTGATCATGATTAGATTGATCAATTAGATTGTCCCATAAGTTTTCAAAATTGTTGAGACTTACTACAAATTATTAAGTCATACATAGCCAGGCGCGAAAAGAACTTATGGGACAACCTAATATTTCTTTACAAAGATCGTGAAAGTATTGTGAATTTAGATATATAATCAAACGTTCCTTAGATAGCATAGAGGAATCGATGAAAATATGTAGGAATAGAGTAACGTAAAAGTAAAGACAAGTTTCTCATGGTAAAGTACGCAATGGTACGCTAGAGTACACCCTTCGGAACTTCTCAAATGGTACTACTATTCCGATCTTTTCATCCTTCATATCTTCGTCTTAGTACTCGATTCCTTCCTTCATCGTCTCTTTGCCCTTTCCCTTTGTCTATCCTTTTCATTTCCTTTCTTTTTCCTTACCATTGATGATGAAACACCTTTGGACTCTTAGCAAATGTTAAAGGAAACTACAGATCTCTTAGTCTCTCTTTCAAGGCCACAGACAAGAGATCTAATATACCCGTCGGTTACATTAGCCGGATTTAATTTAAGTCTCGAACAGGGAGGGGGGTTCTCCTCTCGTAGGTATACGTTTATCTTACCCACCGTAGGCGAGAACACGTCGAACGGAGAGAAAGAGATTGCACGGGAGGGTGAAAGGTGATGTGGGTTGGGGGTGAAATAAGGGAAGAGAAAACGGAAGTTAGTAGCAAAGGTAGCAAAGCGATGCTGGTTTATCGTAATCGTAGTACTCGTGTTACGGGCATGACAAAGAGCAAGAATGAGTAAGAGAGAGAACGTGAGAGTATGTGTGTGTATGTGTGTGTGAGAGTTCTATGACCGACCGCAAATTCGCCAACGTCGGACCACTTTGCGGCTACGCCATGACGTAGGTTTCATCAACCGACAGCCTCATTAACGACAGAAACCGACAGCAGCGTAGGTGCTTGAGAAATTTTGCCCTTTCGCCAAATTTAACGCCTTTCAACTTCGTCCGCAGAAATGTTCCTACGTTGGTAACGATTGCTTAAAAATGAAAAGAAAAGAAAAGAAACGAAACGAAAAATGAAACAAAACAAAAAGAAGGGATTACACGTTGTGTTGATTATTTTTAATTACTATTTCCTGATTTTCGTTCGACATACGTTATTTCTTATTTCGTTTCGTTCATTTATCATTCTTATCGATTTATCAAAATGCAATAAGTGATTTAAACCAAACTGGATTGATTATAGAATTAGGAAAATTAATCAATAATGTCTAAACAGAATTTGCTAACAATAATCCTTTCGACTCTTCTTTCTGAAGATATATAACCTTTCTCGATTGCTTTATGTTCTATCATAAATCTTTCACGATTAAAGATAGTAAGAAAATGTTGTCATCCCTAGTAAAGTTCATTGGGTCACTGTGTTGTCCTAACGTCGTTAGATTTTTATTATTTTTCTTTTTTTTTTCTTTTTTTTTTTCAAATCTCAACGGCTATCTCCATTCTTTCATCGCAAAGGAACCTTTCTTGAACGGGTCACGCTCAAGCTATAAAGACATGGCAGGAGAGAAATCGGTTGGAAGAAAACTGTGTCTTAACGGTGAACAGATTTCATGATGCATCGAACACGCTCAACTTCTACGCAAAAGGTCTATTCTCTTTCTATTATTTTGCTATTTAACATTTTGACCGTGTAGGTTTTCAATGGGTTGCTATTTTAAAATGGTAGTTTTTTGTTACCACCTAAGGGCGTATTAACAACCCGCTTAAGTTGTTATCCTTACACCCAAACATGCAAGACAACATTTTTTATAGTTTAACAATACTCGTAAATATTTCGTGTTTTTTCTTTTACCTTTGCCAATAAAAAAGCAAAGAATATTACAAAGCTTAAGCAAACCGTACAACGGATTCATATGAATCGCCGACTTGAACAATGCTATTCTTGGTTATTTCCAAGAAAATAAAAAGGGGCTATGAATCCTGGAAGAAAATCCTTCCCTAGATAATTGGCTTTTCTTGCTAAAGAAAGTATGTCAGTAGGACTTATCCTGGAACGTTCATTGTTACAGTCATGGCTTTTGTTAACTGACATTCTTCAGTTTTCCTTTTGAAAATGTGCCGCTGCTGCTGCTCGAATTCCTAAACCTCGGACACAAATACCGCAAGCGGACACAATACTGTCGTAGTAGTATCATTCAATGATTTTTACTTTTGGACTATTACATTTACATTTATAATAACATTTTCCCTTTAAATGCAATTTCATATCACTCAAATCTTTTTATCATCCATCCCTTTATGTTACTTTTATTCTCAACCACAAGAGAAGTGAATTTGATTTGGTTTATAGTCTTGAAGCATATAAGACGTGGAACGCTATTTACCGGCACTACATGAACCGAGATTTTATTGGAAAACGGAAATCTGCTCTCGTGTGGATGCCATGGAGAGAGGATTCGAATAAATTGTGAGCCTTATGGAGCACTCCTCCGTTGAAGATTCTACAAAAGAATTTATCTTTTAAATCCTTCTGCA